CGACTAAGTAGTATCCAATCCTCAACGTTAAAAGTTTATGATCCTCAAGTCGTCCGGTTAGCTCAAAGGTAGAGCGTTGGACTGTGAATCGGGCCACCCGTGTTTGATTCCCAAACGGGGCAGGTCACTTTCGTTGTGATTGATCATGAAATACATGTAGTTTCTGCGGTTATTCGCACTGTACCACTGCTCTGCTATCTACAAAGTTTCAGTTTCTTGCGAAAGTGAGGGCAACTAGAACTGGTAAACTGTTTGACAGCCTGTCCATGAACGATTCGGTGGCTGAACTGTGCTCTGGTAAAATCAATATGGTAACTGCCGTGATCCGGATTGAAAACTACCGACACCAACACCACCATCCTCAAGGACCTATAAATATAACACTGTTAACCAGCTGTTGCAGACTCGGTTCATTAAACGCCGCCTTTCCTTGTTGATCTTGTTTATCATATTTGATTGAGCATGTTCATGGACAGTACTGGAAAGTGCATGTTACTCTATGCCCCCCTAGCACATAATATTATTATCAAGTACCCGCAAGGGAAAAGATAAGCTATTTTCGTTAAATTGAAAGCTCTTCTTAATTCCTCCCATGATGTTAACAAATTTAAAACCAAATGCTCAAAATCATACACAAGAGCAGTCAGCAGGACAACTTGCTATACTATTATCAGTGCTTGATAGTAAAAAAATGGGACATACTTTTGTAAAAAAAAGCTTGATACAGTGACCTCCTCTGTACACAGGTTGAGATTATTATGGTGAACAAGTGTGAAAGGTCTCAAAGCGGTATGTCGATGGAATTTTGAAATTATCTTAGGTGGTAATGTAAATTCAAAGTTGGGAAAAGGGGCATAATTCTGTCAAAATGCTTGATAGACCTCCTCCAGTGTTGAAAGTGGAGGGCCTGATGGTAAACAAGTGTGCCAGTTTCAAGTCATATGTCAATGGACTTTGAGATGGTACGCAAACTTTAACGCCGACCCTCGGGCGACTAGGATAGTTGTCCTTAATCGTCGAATAGTTGAGCTAAAAAGAAACTGACCTCATAATATATATTTTCAATTCACTCAATATATATATATTTATATTTATATAATATTTTATTTATAATTCAGATATAGTCTAGCAGAAAAGTCTCTTACTGTAAACTGAATAACCTACCCATTTTAAATGTTCTAGCAAATTACATTTTATATTTTAATGTTCATATTATATCCGTCATCAATAATGACAAAACTCCAAATATGGTTCACTTGTAGATTATCATATGTTATGCCAATGCCTTAAAACAGGAGCTGCATGTAAGACAGAACGCTCGAATATTTAAAATCAACAGCCTGCATAATAAAGATTTTCTCTTATTCATAAAGTAGTATAACTCTTTGAAATAAAAACATGTAAGAGGGAAGTAACCTACAATAATGATGGTTGTAGAGATAATTTTGTCCGAGAAAATCTGTAAGTTAATAAATAGATATTATTATTGCCTAATAAATGCTTAGCTTATGGTCTGGGTCATATGGGGGTTGCGTTCATTGAACGCCGCCTTTCCTTGTTGATCTTGTTTATCATATATTATATGAGGGTTGCGTTCATTGAACGCCGCCTTTCCTTGTTGATCTTGTTTATCATATATTATATGGGGGTTGAGTTCATTGAACGCCGCCTTTCCTTGTTGATCTTGTTTATCATATATTATATGGGGGTTGCGTTCATTGAACGCCGCCTTTTCCTTGTTGATCTTGTTTATCATATTGAACAGTGACCTAAAAGTATAATTAAAATCACATTTGAAGACTTACAATGAATGTTTATGGCTAAGGAGAAAAAACTTGCAAACAAATCCTTAACAAAAGGCAAGTAAATACCGAATTGCAGGTCAGTAAATAGTTCCTTATTGTGTGCATAAAACAAATAAAAGAGATATCTTAACATTTAGACACACATGCAGGGCATTTTCTATGAAGGATAAGATGTCTCATCACTAACCAATTAAATAAAATTTTAAACCTTTTTATATTACTATTATGATATAAAACAAATAAGTATTTGATTTAAAGTTGACTCCCCCGTTCGTAATACCCTACCCACTTTGTATATACATTTAGATCAATAAGACACATTTATGGCATAGTCCGCTTATTCTAACTTATTCTTAATTTTGTAGATATAGATTTAAAGCTGTATAAAACGAAATCATGAATGTTATTCAGTTTCAGCAAGAATAAAACTAATAAGTTACACATGTTCAGAAAAAGACACCCAGTTTGCAACATATTTTTTCTTCTTTCGTTTAAATTAGGCGATGAAAACTAGAAAAAAATCAATAAAGTCAAAATTTATAGCATGAGTAAGTTGAAAATAAGAAATTTTATGAAAAATTTCAATTGATTTACAAAACTGAAAAAGGAAATAAGCCAACGTAAATATACTAGAAAATTTAGGGATTTGGCGGCCATCTTTGACGCCATCTTGGACATCTTAGCTTCGCATCGGGGTTGGGCCAAATGAATATCCATTCCAGAAACTACAGATCCAGACGAACATTTTGGTATATGAAACTTGCTGTTGGCTGACATAGACCAGTTACCCCTCTAAAAAGGCTAGTAAAATGGGCTGATTTGCAGCACTATATGGTCAAAGAAAATATTACTCGATTTATAACAAATAATATTTTTTATAGAAAACTTTGCTGTTACTTTAAGATATCCTGATAATTTAGGTACCACATGGGGAAAATCTTAAGAAAGTAGTTTCGTCATTCAAAAGTGTGAAATTATATTTTGATAATTTTCAATGTGAAATTATCAAATATAATTTTCACGGATAAATCAGTAATCCACTGAAAAGCATAAAATCTAAAAAGCTATGAAACTAATGTGAGTAAAAGTCATAGCTGCTAAAAATGTAAACTACAGCGTTACTTCTGCAGTAGCACAGTCGGTTAAGTGATTGACTGATGTGTGAGAGGTCTATGGTTCGATTCCTGCTGTTTCCATTTTATAAGACCTGTTGTTTTTTTTGTGTGGGGGCGCAGTATATATTTTAAAACACTTTTTGTCTCGGTTTTTGTTGTGTTTATGGCATTGAAATGACACTTTTTGACATTTCAAAATAATTTGTAAATACTCATTTTAAACCATAAATGCCATAATAAGTGCAAAATATATGAAAACAAAATGAACAACTTTAAAAAAATCATAGCTACAAATAATGTTGAAAATTATGGAACACTTGAAGTGACATTTTCCACACTTTCTCCCGGAATTGAATTCGTTTTTACGAGATAATAATTCCCAATTAGAAATATTATTTCGTTTTAACGAAATATAAAATCTTAATTACGAAATATTGATTCGTTATTACGAAATATTATTTCGTTATTACGAAATATTAATTTGTTATTACGAAATATTTATTCTTTGGTAATATTTATAAACTAAGTTTATTGTTCAATATAAGTCAAGTACTAAACAAAACATTAAAAGTGATTTTTTTTTCAATCCTTAAAACCTTAACGCGCTAGTAAAACAGTACTGTATATACTGTTAATTGAGCCATTATGCTTATAATAGCTATATCTCATTAAAATCTGATCATATTGAATAATCATTTGATTTTGACAAGAATAATTAATTGCATCATATTGTAGCATAGTTTTGATGACCTATTTTAGTATTTTTAAGCGGCCATTTTGAATTGACCTTTTGAAGGTTAAGGTCAATTTTATTTTCTTGGTATCCACACTCATCTTCTTCAGCAAACCCATATTAGGTTAAAACACTCAAGATATTACTTGTACTATAAAATGCCTCTAACATTCATATTTTCTTAAAATCAGTCCAGTCTATTTTAGATATTTCAAGAGGTAAAATTAATGAAAGTTTTATCACTTAAGCATCATCAAAGTATTGACCGCCATCTTGAACTCCAACTCAAATATTTCAATGTCGCAGATCGAAAATAAGTCAGTGCTCAAGTATTTAAGCAGAACCCTGGAACCCAAAGTGCGTTGATATGTAGCATTTTAACGCACTTTGGGGTCAATTTCTCGATTTTGACACCAAAGTGCGTTGGACCACAAAATGTGGTGCGAAGTTAAACGCACTTTGGGTTCGGACCCCAAAGTGCGTTTGACCCCAAAGTGCGGTGTTACAATGCTTCATATTCACGCACTTTGGGTTCCAGAATTCTGAAGGTGTCAACTGAGTACTGACTTTTTTTAGCTTTTACTGAAACCGCTTCACAGATTGTCACCCTGTCATTTAAAATTCAATGTTCAAATACAAATATCTTAGTTTCTAATTCAAATTTTGGTAAACAAACTTTTCGATTGAACATATAACACGTTTTATTTTATTATCTATGTTTGTAGGAACCGGAAGTACAAATATTTACCTTCTGACATTATTTTGGATTTGGTTTTAATTGTACGTTAATTGGCATTCTTAAATTGCCTCTGATTGTCAGACAATTTTTATCGAAAATTGACTTAAAAGTTTGATTTTCAGTTAAATCCAATAGAGTTAGGGGAGATAATAATATTGAATCAGAGCTTGAAAGAGACACATCAATCATCTCCCTTGATACATAAATTATTCAAATTATTTATTATTTTTGTCTTTTGAGTTTATAACACACTTGATTCATGTAATTCACGTTTAGCTGTTTTTATTTAAGTAAATGATAAATGACACCTAAAAGTTATTGTGTGTAATTTGGGATCAGAATTTACTCGATGTGTGTTCAATATATGAACCGGTGTTTAATTTTTCTATATTCATGTTAAAAGGCAGTTGAGACTTGGTTTCCCCTTATGTTTGAAAATAGTTAAGATTTCATTAATATTCACGATTTAAAATATAGGAAAAATAATTCGTCTTTTTTTATTTATCTTTTAAATTTGTATGTCCATCATGTTTTATAACAATCATAATAATAAACCTGGGGAAAAAACGCACTCGACTATAAAGCAGTGATCAATTTTCATTTCACAGGTTACAGTGGAGAAGAGTATTATGTTGATGGTAGCAACGCTAGTGCTGATGATTTCTATGCCCCGGGAGCCTGGACGTTTGTTGATGGAGACCCTGTACCCATGACGAGTGACTTTTGGGGACCATCCTATCCAAATAATCAACACTTTCAACATTGCTTACGCATGCAAAAGAGCGCTGCAAATTACAAGTTTGATGACATAAGCTGTAGTGAACAACGCTACTATATTTGTGAAATATAGACACGTGTCGGTCCAGAACGTTACTTTATTTTATGCGTTTTAGTGGATTAATTATTCATTCGTGAAAATTATAATTGGTAATTCCACAGTGAAAATTATGAAAATATAATTTCACACTTTTCTATTACGAGACTACTTTTTTCAAGATTTTCCCCATGTGGTACCTCAATTATACTCTTGCTGACAATTCTGGCATTATGAGGGCTGTTTAGAAAAGCAAAGGTGGAATTGATAAAAAACTTAAATTTCAAAAGTAATAAAAAGGAAAAACTTACTTCAATTCATTCAAATAACCAATCACCAAATATCGTCTCTAAATTTTTTGTTTCATTTTTACAGTCTGAAAAAAATACACTTCCTTCCAAATGCAAAACTGCCCTTGATTACATTTGGGCATATTTAATTATCCTACGAGTAATAATTGCCTGATGCAAAATGAAAAATTGAAAAGCAATGACAGTCATAAGAAGAAAAAAAAGAAAAAAAAAAAAAAAAAAAAAAAAAAAAAGAGAAGAGAATTTGTTTAGAAAAACATTGGTCAAATCTCACTGAACTATTTCAAGTTACCTTACCACAGCCTCCTATTTTAGCGATTTAGAGTCAGACTTGATTAATTTATTCGGTACTTTAAGGTCCTAAATAAGATTTATTAAAGTGTGTACTCAAACTAGAATAAAACATCAGGGCAACTTTCATTCTGCCTTTAAAATCTTTTATACATTAACAAAATTGTAGCGGCAATGATATTTTAATAAACCAATGTTTAAACATAACTAGTTGCAAAAAGACGGATATACAACAAATGATTTGAAAATTTTATTCAAGATTTATAATGGATCGATATAAGATATATAATGATGCCAAAGTTTATATTTCAATTAAAAGTTCAGTGAGACTTTCTGTGGGCCCAATTTTGGCGCGATATTAAATCGCACCTGTTTCAAACACCGAAAAACCAGTAGGTTGTTGCTGTCAAAAAAGTAAACAAACCCAACACATGGCCAAATGATTTGATTATTACAATACTTTCAACTTTTTACCAACAAATTATAATAAATATTAACTTCCAAAATACATTTTCAACAATACAAAAAGTCATTTAAGATTTTAAGCCACCCACGACTCAAGGAAAACCCACAACTTAAGGAGAAGCAGCCATAATTTTATTTCATATCGTGAACTTTAAAAACAGTATTCTCTCTCGTGGCTACGCCACTCGTGAAAAACTAGAAGCGTATTGTTTATTTAACATTCATCCAATCGGGAGAAATATATAGATACCGTAACGGTTGCAAAATATCGCATAGCATTAACTAAGCTCGGAGTCTAGCTATAGAAACTGGGAGATATGATGGTACTCTGAGAGAAATAGATTATGCAAATGCTGTTCAATGGGAGTTTTAGAATCTGAATATCACTTTTTTTCTCGTATGTCCGTTATACAGAGATCTAAGAATGAAACACTTTAAAAGATATCTTTGCAGATGGCCAACACTGAAGAATTTGAAATTTTAATGTCACCAAAAATTAATGTTGAAATCAATGTTACCAACTTAGCAAAATATATTTACTTTGCAGCAAAGTTACGAAATTTATGATGTGTTAATTGTTCTTAAATATTAAATTATAAATAAATCACGTACTTTATTTATACATCTTTCTTATCTGTGAGTATTTAGAATGTGAGCCAATTACGTTATTATGTATTTTTTTCTTTTTGAACAATTGAAAATATAGTCTCGTACATTATTGTAATTGTTAATTTCCAACAGTATTCATATACCCTGTGTAAACGATTTCTCATGTATTTATGTTGTTTTTATTGCTATAAACTTTGTAGGTTTAAAGCGGAATAAAGTGTATTGTATTGTATTGTATAGCAATGCGCTATTCTGATGGTTTGTATAACAATGTGGGCTATTCTGATGGTTTGTATTGCAACGTGGGCTATTCTGATGGTTTGCATCACAATCTGGGCTATTCTGATGGTTTGTATCGCAATGCGCTATTTTGATGGTTTGTATCGCAATGCGCTATTCTGATTATATGTATCACAATGTTGGCTATTCTGATGGTTTGTATCGCAATGCGCTATTTTGATGGTATGTATCGCAATGCGCTATTCTGATGGTATGTATCACAATGTTGGCTATTCTGATGGTTTGTATCGCAATGCGCTATTTTGAGTGTTTGTATCGCAATGCGCTATTCTGATGGTTTGTATCACAATGTTGGCTATTCTGATGGTTTGTATCGCAATGCGCTATTTAGATGGTTTGTATCGCAATGCGCTATTCTGATGGTTTGTATCGCAATGTTGGCTATTCTGATGGTTTGTATCGCAATGCACTATTTTGATGGTTTGTATCACAATGCGCTATTTTGATGGTATGTATCACAATGTTGGCTATTCTGATGGTTTGTATCGCAATGCGATATTTTGATGGTTTGTATCGCAATGCGCCATTCTGATAGTTTGTATCACAATGTTGGCTATTCTGATGGTTTGTATCGCACTGCGCTATTTACATGGTTTGTATCGCAATGTGGGCTATTCTGATGGTTTGTATCACAGTGTTGGCTATTCTGATGTTTTGTGTTGAAATGTTGGCTATTCTGATTGTTTATATAGCAATGTGGCTTATTCTGATGTTTTGTATCACAATGTTGGCTATTCTGATGTTTTGTATCATAATGTGGCCTATTCTGATGTTTTGTATGACAATGTTGGCTCTCCTGATGTTTTGTATCATAATGTGGCCTTTTCTGATGTTTTGTATAACAATGTTGGCTATTCTGATGTTTTGTATCACAATGTTGGCCAATTCTGATTTTTTTATCACAATTTTGACCTATTCTGATGGTTTGTATCGCAATGTGGGCTATTCTGATGGTTTGTATCGCAAGGTGGGCTATTCTGATGCTTTGTATCGCAATGTGCGCTATTCTGATGCCTTGTATCGCAATGTTGGCTATTCTGATGCTTTGTGTCGCAATGTGGGTTATTCTGATGCTTTGTATCGCAATGTGGGCTATTCTTTTGGTTTGTATCGCAATGTGGGCTATTCTGTTTGTTTGTATCGCAATGTGGGCTATTTTGATTGTTTGTGTCGCAATATTGGCTATTCTGTTGGTTTGTATCGAATTGTGCTATTCTGATGGTTTGTATCGCAATGTGGGCTATTCTGATGGTTTGTATCGTAATGTGGGCTATTATGATGGTCTGTGTGGGCTTTGTGTGTTTTATTGTATTGCGCTATTGTGATGGCTTGTATCGCAATCTGAGGTTTTTCTGTTTGTTTGTGTCGCAATGTGGGTTATTATGATGGTTAGTATCGCAGAGTGGGCTATTCTGCTTTGTTTGTACCACAAAGTGGACTATTCTGTTGGTTTGTATGGCAATGTGGGCTATTCTGTTTGGTAAATATGGAATTGCTCTATTCTGATGGTTTGTATGAAATTGTCATTCTGTGATGGTTTGTATCGCAATGCGAGCTATTTTGATGGATTGCATCGCAATGTTAGCTATTGAATGGTGTGCATCGCAATATTGGTTATTCTGTTGGTTTGTATCGCAATGTGGGCTATTCTGTTGGTTTGTATCGCAATGTGGGCTATTCTGTTGGTTTGTATCGCAATGTGGGCTATTCTGTTTGTTTGTATCGCAATGTGGGCTATTTTGTTGGTTTGTATCGCAGAGTGGGCTATTCTGCTTTGTTTGTACCACTATGTGGACTATTCTGTTGGTTTGTATGGCAATATGGGCTATTTTGTTTGGTTAATATCGAATTGGTCTATTCTGATGGTTTGTATGGAATTGTCGTTTTGTGTTGGTTTGTATCGCAATGTGGGCTATTTTGATGGTTTGTATCGCAATTTGGGCTATTCTGTTGGTTTGTATCGCAATGTGGGTTATTCTGTTTGTTTGTGTCGCAATGTGGGCTATTCTGTTTGTTTGTATTGCAGACCAAGCTAGACCGGTACCCGATTGCTTGATCGTGCTTTATCGTGCTTGATTGAGTTGATCTGATCGGCGGTGAGAACACAGCATTACGGCCATCAGTTATGAATAATCGTCGAAAAGGTAAGGCAGTTATGCAAATGAAATAATGAATCGCGAAAACAAGCAACACAGTAAGTAACGGACAAATGTATTTTATCTTAATTCAAATTGAAAGAAATGACTCGTCATACATTATTTATATATGTTCTTGAAGTTGGCAGTCTAGCAGCCTGATATTGCTAAGATACAAAGAACAGCACAAAATATATATTTAATTTCACTTCTGAGAATATTTCTTTCTTCAACACATATTTCTGTTTTAAGTACCCAAATGTTCTATGTGAAAAATTCAAATGTTATGATTTAATTTTAGGACCTATGTTGTGTTCTTTTAAGCTTAAATTGATAGAAATAAATCAAAAAGAGTTTCCTTTAATTTACATTATGGATAATCGATAAATGTGGTTCATTTAAGTTATTGATAAACTTTGTTGCTGGTGAAATGAGCACATAAAGAAATCGTGAGAAAAATCTTTGAGTTATCCACTGAATATTGTAAAGTACAAATTACGACAGAAACGGAGCAGATCTAAATAAAATCTTCAATATTGGATAATTGATTTAAGCAGCAAAATACTCATATAAGCCGCAAAATTTTATAAAGTAAAAATAAGTGTATATTCACTCTAGATAAATAAATTTGAGCCTCGTCACGACAAAATAAACATAATGGAATTGCGACCAGCATGGATCCAGACCAGCCTGCGCATCCGCGCAGTCTGATCAGGATCCATGATGTTCGCTCTCAGTTTCTCTACTTGTTATAAAGTTTGTAAGCAATAGCATGGATCCTGACCATTTGTTCTCGTTTATATTTTTCGAGTCCAAAAACAAAATCCATATCAAATCGATCATTTCAAGTGTACAAAATTTCATATCAAATACTTACTGCACTCAGTTTTGTCAAAATGTCAAAAATTAGTGATTTGAAATAAAGATTAGATTATACATTGTTAGTACAATACTGGACTCTATTAGACGAATGCACATTGATTTTCAAACCTTTATTGGACGGGTCGCCAGTCTCAACAATGTACATATAAAAACTCAACTTACACTACGGTCCTATTGATTTATCTTAGATTTACGTAATAAAACAATATGTATATGAATAACTATTTGAAAAAAGTTTATATTTTTGCAACACAAACATAATAATTTTGTGTTTTACAATGGTAACACATTACAAATTACGAAGATAAATATGTGTACTGTATAAATGGGATGCACCAAACGTATAATGAATACATGTTGAAGGAGCGTCCGTGGCCGAGTGGTTAAGGTCGTTCACTTCAAACCACTTGCCCCTCACCGCTGTGGATTCGAAACCCGACAGGGACTTTGGATTCTTTCATGTGAGGAAGCTATCAAGCTAGCTAACGGAACATCGGTGGTTCTACTCAGTACCCGTTCGAGCCTGAAATAATGCATGGACACACACCTGAGGTTTTCCTCCACCGGTAAAGCTGGAACGTCGCCATATGACCTATACTGTTTCGGTGTGACGTAAAACCCAATCAAACAAACAAAACAAAAATACATATTAAAGTTGACTTAATAATACATTGTAACAGTAAATTTTGATGTCCTGAGAAGTTAGCTCTGAGATCTAAAATTGTAGATCTAAAATTAGCATGTCGAAATTTCCCTCATAAATGGAATATTAATGATTTACTATGCAAAGATGACATAAAACAAATTTCTTTCTATTTTCCTCTTACACATACGATATTTTTCGTTCAACTAAAAACACCTGATAAAAGTGCACTTTCAATATATCCAACCAAAATAAACACGAAATAAAAGTTCACTGTTCACAAATGAAATAGTGCGTTGCGCTACAACTGCAGTCGTCCCACATGTAATTTTCTTCTGATGTCATGCGTAGGCAATGCTGACTGCCAGGATAGTTGGGATATCCGGGTCCCCAAAAGTCCGAGGTCATTGGAACAAGCTCTCCGTTATCCATGACCCAAGCACCTGCAGCAAAGAAATCCGAAGCACCGGCATTACTTCCGTCAACGTAGTAATCGTGAACACCACTATAATCTGAAACAAAACGAAAGTACATGTATATGTAATTTTAGAAGTTACATGTATTAGATATATATTCTACAGTGTATAAACTATCACTTTCCTGTTTTCGCAAGAAAGGAACAAAATTTATATAAATGCTACTTGTACCAAGATTGGTACAGGGACCAGAGGTAACACGTTGTGTTCTCGCAAAGGTTCACACTGAATTGTATAGACTCGCAAGACAGTATGCAGTGAATTTGTGTACAAATCTAGTGTGAATTCTATATGTTTCAGCTAAATAAAATCTTTTTAATTTTGTTCTACGACAAAATATTCCTATATATATCTAAACGAATCTGACAATACTGGCTGTGGCTGAGATTATAAGTTCCTTTGCTTATTGTTTCATATTTTGTCAAGTACATAATTATGAACCGCGTCATGACAAAACCAACATAATGGGTTGCGACCAGCATGGATCCAGACCAGCCTGCGCATCCGCGCAGTCTGTTCAGGATCCATGCTGTTCGCTTATCAACTCTATTACAAGTGGAGAAACTGACAGCGAACAACATGGATCCTGATCAGACTGCGCAGATGCGCAGGCTGGTCTGGATCCATGCTGGTCGCAAACCCATTATGTTGGTTTTGTCATGACGCGGCTAATATATTGCATAAACTGTTATCACATGTAATAAAGAGTACCTGAACAAGTCCTAATAAGATCAAGTAGATAATTCATCTTAACTACAGTTGTCACACGAGCAAGGAATGATCCATGGTTCATACAGATTCCTCGCGCCTCTGACTGCGATACCAATACCTTCGCAACCCTGGATAAAGATAAAATACAAATTTTGATCACAGTCTAGACAAGCTGACATTGGAAGAATTGACAATAAGTACAACGAATTGATATTGGAAACGGAATAATAGATGTACAAGCATGCTACGGATTGACTTGAGAATGAGTTAAAATAAGGGAAGCATTGACGGATGATAGGATTTGTGAGGAGTTGATTGGAACATGGGGTTGTTTGTTCATTTTTCAATTCACTTAACCAATTTAGACTGTTTTGTTACATGTATATTGGTGTTTTCTGCCGTTAGGCTTCATATATCAATTATTGCATTAAACTTGGCTGAACGAATAGAGAACAAGTTTACTTCGATAAAAAGCTTGACACATTTAAGGGGATGCGACACACAGACTGTTAATCTTCATCATACCAAACACTATGTTACAAAAATCTTGGTGTGCAAAATATATGTTAACTTTTGAAAATTTGTCACGAATTATAATGTGTGTATGCAATATCGATTTCGCTAAAATACAACTTTTTGGAAATCAATGTCCAAAATCAACGTATGAAAGGCTCTAAAAACACTAGTTTTAACGAAACACTAGTCAATTATCTAACATTTGAAATAAAAATTGAGAAAGTGTGCTATTTGTTGACATCATTTTCAAATAATATTCAACAAATGTCAGTCAAAACATCGACGTTACCTTTCGCAGTATAAATTAAAGCGTAAATTGTGCATGCGTTTTTGTACTGAACTCTAATAATAGAATATCAGGAAATGAAGATTTAACCTAAGTAAGTTACCTAAATCTTATTGTTTAAAAAAATGAGTTATTACGTGAAGGATAAGTGAATTTACTTGAAGGTGAATATATCTCCGTCGGTTAGCACAACTGTTGTAAAAGTTGTTCCAGCAGGCGGACAAGTGAAAGATGAGGTGGTGGTTGCTGCAGGTGAAATTGTTGTTGTGGTCGGTAGAGGCGTAGCTGTTGTAGTAGTGGTCGTTTCAGGCGTAGTTGATGAAGAAGTGGTCGGTGCCGGCGTTGTTGATGTAGTGGTTGTCGGTACAGGCGTTGTTGATGTAGTGGTTGTCGATACCGGCGTTGTTGATGTAGTGGTTGTCGGTACAGGCGTTGTTGATGTAGATGTTGTGGGTACAGGCGTTGTTGATGTAGTGGTTGTCGGTGCCGGCGTTGTTGATGTAGTGGTTATCGGTACCGGCGTTGTTGATGTAGTGGTTGTCGGTACCGGCGTTGTTGGTGAAGTGGTTGTCGGTACAGGCGTTGTTGATGTAGTGGTTGTCGGTACCGGCGTTGTTGATGTAGTGGTTGTCGGTACAGGCGTTGTTGATGTAGTGGTTGTCGGTACAGGCGTTGTTGATGTAGTGGTTGTCGGTACCGGCGTTTTTGATGTAGTAGTTGTCGGTACAGGCGTTGTTGATGTAATGGTTGTCGGTACCGGTGTTGTTGATGTAGTGGTGGTCGGTGCAGGTGTCGACGGAGTTGCTTATTAAGAAAGCGCAAAAATATTGAAAAAGTCATTATTAGCTATATATACAGGATATTTACCTTTTAAAACAGTTGAACCCGAGAAAATTATATTATTATATCTGATTATAGGTACTTTATGCCTAAGGACTGAATACATTGTAGTTGTTTCTTCTTTAAAGGGGACAACACGTTTCAATAATACATTTTATAGAGATGATTTAACGCCGTTACTTAGTAGAGGTGAATGTGAAATAAATTCTCATAACTTAGCCAAGTGTAAATAAAGTGGTATTTTGACTTCGACACAATATACACGATATCTAAAATTATTGCCAAAACGCAAAAAGTAAAAAGAAAACAGTATAGCCGCTATTTTTTCAAAATTGTAAAGGACACCAAGAATAAATGAAAATAATAACATTCTTTGGGGCTTTATGGGCCTTTGATATCATACGAGTGTTTTACGTGATTAAACAGAAATGTATGGTGTTTTTTTAACATTTTCTAATTTAACATACACATAAAATAAGCGAACCTACCTCCATACAAAATATAATATGTTACTGCATTTTTATCACTGAGTCCATCAGTGGAGATTAGTATATGGTCCTGCAATTCACAGTTGAAATTGTCAACGCTTTCGAAGAAGAATGCCACACAGGAGTTGGTGTGAAGACACTTCTTGCCACAATGAATTAGACTTCGGGAAGTTAATGTCAATCCGGATATTGGAACTTTTCCATCGAATGTCGGCTCTCTTGTCCATTTATTTTCAGATACGAATGCTAAGTTTGTTTAAAAATGAAGGGGAAGAAAAAGAAATCGTTCGTTTTCAAATACGATCTACGTACATATTTTTCAAAAGGCATATCATGCCTGAGAAATTCATAATTGTTTTTTTTTCTTTTTAAGTGGTTAATAATATATTTAATTGAAACTATGCGTTAACACCGTTAGTTTGTAGCCCTGAATGTGAAATAATTTGTCACTAAGTCAAATATAACGTAATTAATATTTCGTAAAAACGAGTTAATATTTCGTAAAAGCGAATTAATATTTCGTCCTTACGAATTAATATTTCGTAATTACGAAATAATATTTCGTAATAACGAATTAATATTTCGTAAAAACGAGTTAATATTTCGTAAAAAACGAATTAATATCTCGTATTTACATATTTTATTCTATTGATATTTCGTAATTACGAAATATTATTTCGTAAAAACGAATTAAGTTCCGTGAAAAAACGTGTGGAAATCTCATCTTAAATTAGGAGCTCCGTACATTTAAATATACTGGTTTTTTCTCTTAACAAAAAGCATAATAAATAAACATGGTCAAACAATTTATGGTCTTTGTGAGTTGCTACTTAAAAGGAGTCCTAATTTTGCTGATGGCAGTAATACGGTTTCAATTATATTTTTTCTTAAACCTTATACTTTGGACAGACAAGTAAAAAGTGGTATTCTTTTTCTATTTCATTCATTGAACAAGAAATACATTTCCACTCTTTTATGTTCATATTAGCGTATCTTCCGGTTTCTACAGCTTGTCTATGGTAAGTTATCCAGAAAAGTCGTTTAGATGATAAAAATGTGTTAAAATCGACGCAAAACAGAGTAGTTTTGAAACAAAACAGTGCAACTTTTACTCTCGACAAAATATACTTAGACTCCAGACTGTAGAGTAAGTAAAATAAAATGGACATGTCCAAAAACTTTCATTTTTGAAACGGCTTAAAATAGCAAACAGTATTTAGACAAAACGATGTAAAGGTAGGAAACTTATTTGAAGCGATCAAGGAAAATAAAACATGTAAAATCGATAACACTTTTGATTATAAATAAAAACAGTTTAAGTGCACAAAAAGAAAAAGAAACCTCTGAAATGAAGCATAGAAAAAAAGATAGTTAAATTGAGTCAATCTAAAACATAAACAAAATAAAAACGTCTAGTTATAACGAATTATATCATAAATGTTATTTTCTAAAGGTAAGTTTTATTCTTGTTTGATTATTTTAAGCGGCATGCCTCTAGGTTAATGCTTATATTCTTGAAAATTTTGAAAATGCATTGAAAAGTAAAACGTTTTCGGGTGAACAATAGAAGTGATTTACACGTTATAAAAGGCCCTTTCCACCCACGTGCATTTTCAAATTAATGAAAAATATGCAAAATACTCCCCCCCCCACCAAAAGGGAAAAACATGTAGAAATATGTTTTTCGTAATCTTTGACTCGCCTTGAGTCATGTAGCTTTTATGTACATATAATACGTTTTACTTATATGAACCACACACATAAATTGCCAATTTCTTGTAAGTGAAAAGATCAAAAACAAGTACATGGAATATCCACTCACCTAAATGTATACACCACGAGAAAAACACGAGTTTGTACAAAAGATGCGTTACCAGTATGTCCATGTTACCTTGCCAAGAAGGAAATTTGTTATAATGGCAATTTCATGGCATGAAGATGTGACTTGAGACGTCTTTCTTCTAAAGGCTATTGATTAGGAGATCGATATAAAAAATCGAATTACTTATCATGCTGAAACTATTATAATACTGGTAATACCGTTCAATCAACCTTTTGAATAGACAATGCAAAATAACAGCTTAAAGGTACAAAAACTAATTTCTAAATTAACTGACCAACATTTTAACTATCTTTTTCACTAACTGACTAACTTACTCAATTTTTTCTGTCCAACAAATCTACTTTCACACTATTAATATATTTAGGTCGTTTGGATAAAAGGGTAGCGGCTATTTACGACTGAATGTATTAATAAAATTATTATTATTCTATATATTGCATTTAATTACACCTTAATTTACAGTAGGGATGATTCCAATGTCTTCATTTTACGTTTAAGTAACTCGAGTGTTTATTTTCTAGTTATATTTATTGTCCATGTTTTGTAAGTGTATAAGAGATGGGAGTTATAAACAAGTAATAGAAAGAGCATCGAAACACGAGGCTATGTAACACCGGATTGGGATTTGAACACCAGACTTCTCGTACCTTGGACGAGCACGTTACCCCTGCACCACGGGGAAGGTACTGTTCCGCTAGGAAAGGCAATTACTCTTCTAAGAAAATTAAAATCGTTGAAATCGTATACAGTGTTTTGGGGACTTTTTTTTACATTAACCCTTAACCTGGAGTGATAAGTTTCATCTTGAACACAAGAAATATTTTCTTAAGAAATTGATTAATTTGTACATGTTATTTTGTTTTCCCTAATGTACTATAATGCCATAGAACTATCTTTTTACGGGTCTAGATTGTGTTGTTGTTTCGAACAAACAGTCCTCCTAGCCCTTTTAAACGAATGTATCACTCCGCGTTCTTACCCTGAAAAAAATACAATGATTTTGTAGCAGCGCGTATAGATAATATAAAGGAGAAAATGCTCAATGAAACTCACCGAACATAGTAAAAATATTAGTATTTATTAATTAAAGTTCGTGATCTGTACTTAAGATGTTGGATATAATTACATTATTAACTTTGAAACTAACAACGCAAGTTCATATATCCGGTTAAAATTAAAAAGAATCAATAACTCATTTGTTGTTG